TAAATATGATGCATACTAGTAAAGAGATTAGTACTCTGAAAGTTTAATTCTTTCACAGAATCTGATGAAAACCAGGCAGTTCTCTGACACTTGAAAAGGGCCAAAAAAGTTTGGAGAGTATTAGGCCAGGCCTACAAAATTCCACTGGCCTAAAGGTAATCACGGGACACCTCACAGACTCAAAGAACAGTGAAGAATAGCATCTTCCTAGGGACCCAGCTAGAGATGGTAGTGTGGTGAGCAGTGCATACCACATTTCATTTCTTCATCTTCCTGACATCCATAGAACAGTATTAAATGTTAAAGAACAATAACAACATGGGACTCCTAAGCAACACTCCTGAATCTGTGTCCTGATAATAGGCTCTTCATTATGTCCCCAATTGACAAGTGGCAGACTGGTAGTTAGAAATCTGTATGTTTTATTGTCCTAAGGAAGTTTTTAGACATCATTTTTGTATGATTTTAATTTATTCAATGACATAGCTGAAAATTTGTTAAATATATATTTTAAAAGCTATGGAAATAATGATATAACTGCTGTAGGTTAATAGTATGAATTATATTAGTAGTAATTCTTCATGTTGAATTATTTTTCCTTATTCTTAGAATAAAGTCTAATATATTATGATACATAGGTATACATACATGTATATCATATTTTTGAAAACATGAATTATGTTCACCATTGTATTATTTTAGATTTTTGGCATTCATGTTCATAAGATTGAGCTATAGTTGATTTTTATTGTTTTTGTCATGTTTTATAATTTATCAAGTGAATTTTAGAGCTTCTCATCTTTTCCTAGTTTCTTGGACTGTTACAGCTAGCTACACCAGAGTAAATATTCTCAGAGACACAGCACTGCACTGTGCTCAGCAGCCTCTGCTGCAGCCGTGCTCTTGTGCTCCACTCCTGCACTCACTGGCCCTGCCCAGGGTCAACGTGCATCCCCTCTGTCTCTGATGGTAGCCACAGCATTTAACAATGATCAATAGGACGTCTTTCCTACTTTCATGCATTCTTTCTGGCTCTTGTTTTGCTCTTTGGTCTCAGTAATCTTGGCATTCCTAAAACTATATTAAAACTAAAAAATAGACTACAAAAACAATTTTATGATTTTCAGTGCAGGTCTGGACTGAGCAGCACCACAGTTGGTACCAAACCCTGCCATATCCACATGGGTATGGTACATAGCTTATGGGCAAAAGGCTCCAAGAATTCCAGGGCATGTCTAGAGTGAGTGAGTCAGTAAGTAGGGTCTGTACCCCATAAGTGAAGGATAGAACAGTGTACAGAACGCCTCTCCTTCATCAAGTGGCATGCATAATAATGCACAGTAACCTCCGAATGTCTCTGCTGCCTCATGGTCTTCCTGCAAGCTTTATCTTAGGTTCAATGAGTGATGTTGGTGTGGCAGGTAGCTTTTGCTTCATCCTTTCTTCTTTTGACAATATCTTCTCTTGCCCTCCCATCCTGTAAGAGCTTCCTAGCATTAAGGGTTGTTTGTGGTCTAAGCTGCTTTTCTCCCTGCCCATTTTAGGCACAATAGTGGGTACATGATACAGATTTTGTTTTAACTAAAACCCATCATGGCCATCATCCCCTTGGTCCAAGGGGAGAGCATGATCCAAGCCAGTGACACCATCATCATCCCCATCATCACTGTCCTCCCTGGGTGTTTGCTGAAGGATGTTTTGGATGCTCAGGTTGTGAGGATGTGATCTTAGAGAATGCTAATGGCCACTCCCTAATTATCGGGAGAAAAGCTAGTAAGAGGATCTGTCATGCCTGAGAGAAAGGGAGAAATGGATAAAGCCCTAAATAATTGGTTCTTGTAATTGTCCTGGTTCTTGCTTTCCCTTCACTGTTCAGCTCTTCCTATGATTCTATAACCTGCCCCCCAATAAATCCCTCTTTAGCCATGTTAGTGAGAGTTGGAGTTCCTTCATTTTAAATAAGAATAGTGAGCATGAAGAGACAGACAGACCTGTTACCCCATGGAAATCCAGTTCCTCAGGTGGGTTTTTTTTTTTGTTTTCTGATTTTGAAGGCTTGGGCAGCATTTTTCCACCTGCACCCACTGAATGACCTCATTGCAAAAGTGAGAAAGCAATGGATGTGCTTAGACCTCGAACTTTCCCCTCACGTCCCTCTCTTGCTTCCTTAAACTCAGTTCTTATTATCATCTTTCTCTTTCTAAAATATGCAGATTATCATCAAAAACATTAAACTTGGGGAGTGGTGAAGAAATTCAGTGTTTACAATAAGAATATCAGAGGATTATGTTCTAAAACACACAGATCGTGACAGCACCACCTTGTAAGTGTCATTTTGGAAAAGGGGGAAATGTCCAGTGGCTTCATCGAGTAAGCCAGGGCCCAGGACAAATCCCAGGTGGCGCCTGAAAGCCTGGAGTGATGTGAGCATCCTGTCTGCATCCCAGACAATCCCAGAACTCAGAGGCAGGCAGTAAGTTACCGATCTTATCCCAGGCCCTTTGACTTCCATTTCAGAACTGCAAAAAAATACGCTATTATTTAGCAGACAGAAATTCTCCTTGGCACTTGTTGAAAGGCCAAAACTGTACCCAGAAGTGACAAAATGTGGTTACAATCTAAAGTACTGCACTCTTGAGAGAAACTAGCCTTTATTCCCAGAAAAACCTATAAAACAAAGGAAGATGTTCCAGTCTCTGATGGATTTGGTTCCACTGTTCCTAAGCCTGAGTGAGGCAGAGAATCCTGGGTAGAATGGTGTGATGGAGAAAGAGACAAAGACAGGAGAGAGAGAGAGAGAGAGAGAGAGAGAGAGAGAGAGAGAGAGAGAGAGAGAACCAAGGAGAGAAAGAGGTTTAGACAGGAGTGAAGGCTTCTAGATTATGCTCTCAACCATCCAGCTTCCTCCTCCAGCCTCCTAAACACTGCAGCCATGAACTCACAGCACAGCGCCCCCATGGTCTGATCACCTTCCAAGAGCACCACCTCTGAGCACATTAGCTCTGGGGGAATATTCTAGATCCAACCATAGCATCACGCTTCCCTGAGCAGAGCTCCTCAGCATACCGCCCTTCTGGACACCTCATGGGCTCTGTCACAGCCCTGTTTGTCTACCTGTGTCATACAATTTCCAGCTGGCATAGACATCTTTGCTTCACCTGCCAGCTCTTCTGTGGTAATACTAATTCCGAAACACTCACACGGAAAGCTTTTAATGAACACTCCAGACGCGACGCTAAGTAGCCCACTGGAGGGCAGCTGGCACACTGTGGGCCATGACTATGTTTGTCACGAACATTGTTTATAGCACTGTGCAGTAGGTTTGAGATGGTGATGTTACTGTGATTATCGCTGCTTTGTGGGTAAGGAAACTGCAAGCACAGGAAGTTGCATCACCTGCCCATGGTCAGGAACCTGCAGAAGCACCTGAGATGCGAGTCCATCACATTCTGTTGGACACTAGGACTTGTGCATGCCCCATCCACTGTAAGCTAACTTGCTGACCGCATACACACTAATCAATCCCTTCTGCAGTAACCGGCCTCTAATATCCAAGTTGTTCTCATCCAAGTTGTTCTTAAGGCCGGTTTTACTTTGGAAATCATTGCCCTTTAAAATTCAGCTTCCTTGCAGATACAGGGACAAGTGACAAATATCTGTACTTTCTCTAGAGGTTTTCATTTTGAAAGAGGCCACCAAAAATATGTGCCCTTAGGGAGAGCAATGGACTTTCAATGCTTCTTGTTGCTAAGGAGCTGCCTTTTTGTTTTTAGCTATAATGTGCTGCTTCCTTCTGCCTATTTAGTGATGTTTTATGCCCGCTTCAACTATTTAGCTGTATTTTATTTTGTGTTTCTTAGTCCGCAGCACATCAAATTAGCACTGGTGGAAAAAGCCAGGCCACATCAGGGGCTGAGCAGTACTGAAAGTTTATGAGTGTTGTTCACTTATACAGCACATATACTAAATTTTGTAAGTGTGAAAGGGGTTAACGTAATATAAGATCACTACTTAAATTTTAAAAAAACTTATTACAGTATAAGACACACCGCCACAGTGTGGTCAGTGTGAAGGGAGGGGATTCTGAGTATTTTGAGGAGGATCAGTGGCAACATGTTTTCTTCCAATTCTGTCAAAAGTATTTTTATTTAAATATCACTATATTTCTGATTTTTCAGTGATCAACCATTTATATTTTTTTCTGTCGAATAAAAACACTCCACTGTGTGCTTACCAATTTATTCACTGGATTGACACCATGTGACTTCCGGCCCCTCCCCGAAGTCAGAATGACCAGGAAAGGGAAGCGTTTTGAATGGATTCTGATCGAGGCAGGCAAGACAGCCCAGCTGAAGACCCTCAGGAGAGAGCTCTCCAGAGCTGCTGCAGGATGTGGCCAGAACGGTGGGAAGTGTGTGCGGAGCAAGGGGAAGGGTTCTGAGGGGATCGGCGGGGGTGCCTTGCACTGTACTACAATCTTAAAAAACATTAAGACCTTCACGGTATTTTTCAATCCCATTGCACCCTGTGCACGGCCAGTGTGTGCCGGAACCTCAGCCCTGCTTACGCGGTGCACCTCCTGCAAGGCTCTCTGCGGTTTTCTTCCATCCTAGTATTAGTCGGGCTGGGAACTCTGCAGGGTGGAGAGAGGCCGGTACTGCTCTGTCCTGGGCTCCAGAGAGGCCTCCTTTCCTTCCCTTAGTTGAGTCTGCCTGAAGCCACCCGAGTCCCTGGGCCTGGGCCTTGGCCTGGCGTCCCCCGGAGGGCTCAGATCCCTGGGGAGCAGTCACGTGACCATCAGTCCCAGCAGCCCGGTGCCAAACGCTGTGGCCCGCGACGCACCCAGATGTCGCCCCTGGGAGCCCAGGGCCCCTCCAATTTCCCCGGGCGCACGGCTGGGTGCCACGTCCGCTCCGGTCGCGGGACGAAGAGAAGGCGGCCGGGTTCCTGCAGGGACCGCGGCTGGCGGCTGGGGGCGCGGGGAGGACCGCGGTCGGGGTCTCCTCGGTCCGCTCGCAGCGGTGCCTTCCCTGCTCCTCCCGCCTCCCGCCCCAGAAATGATTCCGGAGCCCCGCTCCGCGGGTTCTTTTGTTTCTTTGTTTTAATGACAGTTCCCAGCCCTCGGGCATGTCGTGCGCAATTAATTCCCTGGCTCCCTGGAAGGCAGCTGGGGTGAATTTTTTTATTTTTTTCTGCATCATCCTTTTGGGGATAATTGTTGATGATGTGACGTCAGCGGATTGAGGTTTCTGTGCTGAATGTGTGTGTGTGTGTGTGTGTGTGTGTGTGTGTGTGTGTGTGAGAGAGAGAGAGAGAGAGAGAGAGAGAGAGAGAGAGAGAGGCACAGATGTGCGCAAAGGCCACAGACACTGACATTTCGGAATTTGGAATCCAGGGTAAAGTCAGATGGGAATACAGTGTGCTGCCAGCACTTCAGGCTGCATGGGATTATTAAGAAGTTTTTCTTAAAAAGAAAAAAATCTCCGCAGCGCCCGCTCTGCCCTGGCCAGCCAGGCCCCGCAGGTGGCCGCGCGCCCCTCGCCGCCTCCCCGCGCGCTCCAGGTGGGCACGGCGGCCCTGAGCCCTGGGCATTGTGTCAGGAGACGCGGCCGTGCCATGTGACGCGGGCCAGCGGGAAGGGATTGGCCGAGGCGGCGCAGGCGGTGCAGCGGGCCGGCTCCTGCCTCTGTCTCCCTCCCAGCATCTTTCCGGGAGCTGTAGGTGCAGCAGCAGCCATGGCCTGGCGCTCGGGGTAACCCTGTCTTCCTTGGGCTCCGCAGCGCGCAGAGCGGACCTGCAGCTGTAGCAGCAGCGGTGTGGCCGGGAGCTAGCCAGGACTCGCCAGCGTATCCTCCTGGGCTTTTCCAGACTCCTCGGAAATTAAGGAATGCGATTCCGCCACCATGATGGAAGGTAGGATGCTCGCCGCCGCCGCGCTTGGTTGGCTGGCTGGCTGCAGGCAGGGTCTGGGCTGAGCGGCCTGGGAGATGTCTGCAGCCGGCCTGGGCTGGGGGGCCGGCCTAGAACCGGGTGGCCTGGGGTTTGCATGCGAAAATGCTGCGGCTGGCTTCAAACAAACCAAGGTTCTGACTAATAGAATCAAAGACCAGGGTTCCAGGCAAGTCAGAGCCAGCAGAGCGCTTCCCAGGGCCTTTGAGAGAGCAAAGGCCCAGTGTGTGCAGGAAGCCGAGACAGAGCTGGGAGGCAGCTCGGCAAATGAGTAAGTTGGGAGAGAAGATAAGGTTTTCTGTGCCGGGTTCCTGGAACTGCCTGATTAAACATTTACAATGGAAACTTGTTTTCTGAAATTGACATGAGACAGGGGAGGTCATTGACAGAGTTATAGCCGCTGTCCTTTTCCAGAGGGACAGCTTAAGCATTTAAAAAATTTTTCTAAGATATTTTTATCTCTGCAATTTGCATCCTATTATTGGAGCCAAGGATGCAACACATTTGGGCCATAAACTGTATTTCACGGGGATGTCATTTGAACAGAGTGAGACTAGAAGGAAAATATCTGGGCCTTCTGGCTTCTGAATCAGGATTTTCTTATGTTAAAAAAAATTGTGCGTCTGTGTGTGTGTATGTGTGTGTGTGTGTGTGTGTGTGTGTGTGTGTGTGTGTGTGTTCTAAATGTTCTCTCCATGCACTGGTTCTTAGCCAAGCCTCAAATGATTGCTTGCTAGTTATCTTTTTTGCACTCAATGTTACGTGTAAGAGAAACTTTCCTTAGAGAGATGCTATTTAAACTATGTATTATTCTAGTAAATTACTGTTCCCAGCCGGAGACAGTGACAGTCAAGATTGCCTCAGAAAGGCAGCAAACTGATCAGAAAAGAAGCAGGCAGCTCTGTGCTGGCTTTGATTTTCTGTTTTCACACTACAGGGCGATGTAAAACTCCTGGCCTTTCCCAAGATGACAGGCAGAAATTTGTCCCTAGCCTGGATTTTACAATGCAGAACTGAGTTCATAATGGGTCTCCAATCAGCCATGAAAATGGCAGAGAGGCCAGCTCTCCAGCCACGGTCTGTCCTACTGATTTCAAACGTTCCTCAGAAATTCGCCAAAATGGGCTAAGGGGAGGGTGCTTTCCAAACACAGCCATGTAGCCTGTACTTATGTGTCAGAGTTGAATTCCTTTTTTTGCTCTCTGTCATTGTGGTAAATGTTGTTAATGTGATTTGAAAAAGTGAAGAATTCTGGAGTCAGTGCCTTTAGATTTTAGAAAATAGCCTTAAAAGCGAGATTGGGCATCATTTTGTTATGGAGCCTGGCCTCGTTTGCAAAGGGATCCCACTAGTTCCTTAGATATAGGCCTCAGTAAACTGGGATTGCTAGCACTGTGAGGTTCAATCGTGTTTCATTCACTCAAAATGAGTTTAACCTTTGACTAGCAAGGCAAGGCAAATAGACAATCACTTGATGGACTTTCGATGACAGGCTCATGCAGCTTATTCTCTTAAGAAAAATACTCTCGCCTGTCAACGTGCTGTGCTCCTCCAGCTGAATTTCATGTAACCTTTCTTGCTAATGTATCTGCCCACATTCTGACTAGCTGCTGATCTTACACCGGAAGTGGGAAGATCTGTCCTTTTACTTCATGCCCTGCAAAGGTAGCGATGACGACGGTCGCTCCTGAGTTATTCTGGGAGTGTGGTCCACTGTGCCACTCCAGAGTGCCAGGTCAGAGTCCTGTGATCGGCTTCTGTAAACTACCTAATCTGAGATGAGACCTGGAACAAAGGCTCGTGTTGGCATGGGATTAGCACCACTGCTGGTCTTGCCAAATTTATCCAATACAGGATATTAGTTTAGCACTGGTAGGAATTAAAGGTGACACTGGACACAGGGGGCTTCTAGAGGATCCTTCTCAGAAACTGGACAGGTGTGTTCACCAGTTTAAAGATTTAAGTGCACCAAATGGTGTTTTTCTATCCATGCTGCCTACTTAAATGCTTTTCGAGCCTTGTTCTCTTACTGGCTTAGTGACTAGTGACCTTGGGAAAGCAGGTAGCATCCTTAACTGGAAATCAGTTTGGCTGCCAATGAATTTCCACTCAGCTGTCATCTGGGGGCAACGTACACTCATGCTTCTGGCAGTGCAGCCCAGAATTTCGCCTCTGCATTGCTCTTCCTCTGCAGGCCGGTTGTGGCTGTTGTCACCTCCACTTAGCTCACCTGGAGAGAAAGCCAGGCCATCCCATCAGTCACAGTAGCCTTGGAAAGAAAGGAGTCCTCACCAGACATCCTCAGATGCTGTCATGATCACCCTCTGCCCAAGCATCAGTGAGCCCCAAAATATCTGGACAGCGTCCTGGCCCCACTAGTCCAGGTCTCTGTCTCGTACATATGTGTGTCACATGCCTGCACTACCATCCACACAAACATCTTTCAAGAGAAGGAGAGAACATGTGTGTGTGTGTGTGTGTGTGTGTGTGTGTGTGTGTGTGTGTGTATGTGTATGTGTATGTGTGGTGTGCGCAGGTTTCTACAATGCTGAAGTGCTGCCAGCTGCTCAGGAGAACAAGGCTATGACTTCCCAAAGCCTCTTCTCTACTTTGTGTAGAAGAGGAATCGACCTTCAGCAGCAGAGCGGCTCCTAGCTGAAGCGTGCATCCTTTCTGTGGAGCAAGACATAGGCTCTGCTCAACCAGTGCCTACTGGAAACTCTGGTCCAAGTGGAGGAATTGCCCTGCCTCCCGGGGGAGTCCAGTAGCATGAAAGGAGCGTTAATCTTTCTGCAGGGATCTTAAGCAGGGGACCAGTGGTTTGTGTCTCTGTGGTTCTATTTCAGCTGTTTTGTTTTGGTTTTTTTTTTTTTTTTTTTCGACTGTATTTTAAGGGATTCGATTGGTTGTTTCCTAACGTTTGTATTTTTTGGCAGTGGTTGGTTTTTGAGTTGCTTCTTTCCAAGAGCGGCTCTTGGTGGGGGTGAAAAGGACTGAAGCCAGTCCTCCACTGGGAACTGCGTCCCCAGCTGCTCTGCTCACAGTGCAGTCCGCAGGGCCAGGCATCTGGTGAGGGGCTGTTGTTGCACATATCACTATCAAGGTTTGAAAATGGCATTTTTCAAGCTACCTTTCCTAAGAGCTTTGAGTCTAAGTCAGGGTTTTTAGGCTGTGTGCTCATCTGTGCAGCTACCTGGAGAGCATTTCCTTGTCTGTGCGGAACCAGCTAAAGGGATTTGTGTTTCCAATTGAGGCTCTTAGGTACTGTATTAATGAAAGGTAATTTTCTGATTGCCAATGGCTTCACTCTACCAACGATTGTCAAGTTAATGAGTATATTTTTGAGAGTTTAATTGCTGTTTCAAGTAATAAAATGTTATTAATTTATTACTAACAACCTGAAAATAAGTGTGGTCTGTTAAGTAGCTCAGCAATGCCTTTGCTAAATCACACACACACACAAACACAAACACACACACACACACACACACACACACACACACGAATACACTAAGGCAGAAAAATGTTAGAATGGAGTTTGAAGCCAAGTTAGTTTAGTAAGATTCATCTTTCTGATCCTCTAGAGATTTTTTGTTTTTACTTTGTATCAAGGCGAACATGTTAGCTAAACTAAAGAATAGACCTTTATTTTTTTGGTTGCTTAGTCTATTTCTCTTTATTTTAAATATGGGTACTCATAGTACCATATTATTTAATTCCTTACTAATGCCTTGTGTGTCCAAAATCATTATTTAGATAATACTGCATAATTTGTATATAATTAAACTTTTGTTTCAATAAAATTTATAAGCAGAAACAGACTTTTTCCCATATAGAAATGGATTTTTATAATATTTGAAGAGTTCTTCAACGTGATTAAAAGTGAGACAGAAGATTTTAAAGTGGGGATGCTCGTGCTAGCACACACCTATAATCCTAGCCCTCGGGGGGCTGAGGCAGGAAGATTGCCTGGTGTTCAAGGCCAGCCTGGCCTACACAGGGAGCTCCAGGCCAGCGTGTACTACAAACAAGACCCTGTCTCAAAAAACAAAAAACAAAAAATTCTTGAAGTTGGAGCTGTTCATTTTATAACTAAGATGTTTTAAAGAGCATGCTTTCAACTCTACCAATCCCCTTCCCTTAAATGAAATCAGTTTAGAAAGTGTAAGCATGCCTGAGAGATTCGGTTTTATTTACTAGTCCATGTCTACGTAACGTCCACACTCCTTATGAGGATGGCACCTGAGCATCACCCTTTGGTCGTTTCCTCCCTCTCCCCTCCATCCTTACATGATTTCTATCTTCCCTCAGGTCTGTGTTAGAGATGTAGATGTGTACGTTCCCACCCAGTTCTGAAGATCAACTTCTAAAGTGAAGTCTTTAAAACAAATCGTACTAGAGAATCCTAGACAATTCTTTCTTATGCATTTGGCACATAAACTATCGGTTTTCAAATCAGTGAGTCATAGGAAGTCACCGACTCACAATTTTTATGTTCTTGAGACTTTCTTTGTGCGGTGGCTCCTCCGAATGTATTCTCACACAGGAACAGTGTGATAAAAAAAATGCTGGCTAGTCTCACACTAGTCAGTCAGTACCTAGCTGAAATACTAAATTTTAGCCGTGAAATGTTTAAAGAAAAATATGCTTCCCGTAGTAATTAACCAGAAGAAAAGGATGACCTAAATGTGTTCTTAATTTCAAGTTTTATTGGTGTTGGATATTGCTGTTAAGACTTCCAGCAGGGTTTATCTAAGGGAATTGTGAACAAAAGAATTTTAATTAGAGAAAATGAAGAGAAGCTGTAGAAAAAAATTTAAGACTTTTCAGAAAAAAATTTTTTAGATATTTTCGGAAGTTTTAGAGACTCATGTCACTGGATTTTGCAATTTCACTTCCATTTTTTGTGGCTTACCTCTTCTTGATTCAGTGTCATCTTAGGAACTGCTCTTAAACTAAGTGAG